TACATAGCAGCATTCTTGTCTCAAAACAATGAATCCTAGTTGATGGTAAACATAACAGTGCCAAATTCAGTAAGCTGTTACACTGCAACAAGTCAAAATTGTCCAACAGGAATTATCTTGTCCAAGATAAAAATTAGCATGTCTGGAAGGATTTCCATAGTAAATTTTTTCCTGGGGTTTATGACACACCTATAAAAAAAAAAATTAATTGAACTGAAAATGTGCACAAGTTCAAAGAATTCCATGGATTTTCTTTTTTTTTTTTTTAATAGTTCAAGCAGCAGTCAAGATTTTTCTTACAGCACTTTTTGCCATGTACATCTGCATTAAACTCTGCTGTCCGTACATTGCCAGCATGCGTTATTGCAGACACCCCCACTCTGAGCACCCAGGAAACATTTTAGACTTCATGACACTTTCATGCACCCCTGCAAGGTGCAGTACATGAGGCAGCTGGTAAGGAGGACTCCCTGAATGGGATGCACTGGAGGAGTCAGGTGCACAGAAAGGCTGGCTCGCCCCTTACAGCAATCTCACCACTGTTCCAATGCTGCCACCAATGCCAGCACCTTAAAACCAGGGCTGCCCAAGTATACCCTTAGACCCATGAAACGTCTAATACCACTCATACTTGGGATGGAATCAGAAGAACCGACTAGGTAGTACACCAGCAAGAAGAAAGACTGAAAGACTAAAGGAGAGGTATGTCAGGTAGACAGCAGATCCAGCTGTGGGCTGAAACAATACCATACAGCCCTCCATCACACATCAAGTGCTTCTATCATACTGCCACAGCCCTGCTGCCTGCCTGAGAAAGCTCCGATGAAGGTCAGATCCTGCACTGAGCAAGCAAAGCTACAGCTTCAGATTGTGGCAGCAGAGCATTTGTGCACTTTTTTATATCATCCAGTATGAATTAATAGCCATAAAACTTCTGCTGTAACAGTTAGCTATTGTTTGTGAAGCACTGCAATTTCAAGATATCCCAATCAACACATAACAACTCTCCCTTCCTCATCTTTTATACACACAGCTGTCGGGGTTTTCTTTTCCTTCAAGAAGGAATTATCAAGCTGTATGACTCGTTCTGTGCATATATATACATCTCATTACAACAAGACTTTAGCCTGACCTCTCTCTTAGAAATTCAGATAAACCTGCTTAACGGAGTTCAACAAATAATTTAAGATCCGCAAAAAGGTATTCAGTGGCTTTTATACACTGGACTGTATGCTATGTTATCTGCTCCAGTGTAACAGCATAGGCCTATAGAGCCTGCAGTGCACAAATAAATTCGTCTGCATCCCATCTAAAATGGTGCTTGCTCATGCATCCATTCCATGGTAAACGTGTATGGGATAAGATTGTACGCTATTGCTATCAAGCCGTGGCGGCTCCACACTAACTGGCTCACAGCTGCATGTCCCCTGGAGCACACGCTGTCTGCTAACCTCCTGGCAGTAGCTCAGATCTAGTCTCTGAATGCTCAGCAGCATGTCATGCTAACTGACACCACAGCCTGCACTACTATGCAAGTTTCTCCAAGTCTGAGGATGCTGTGTGCCAGGAAATTAAGAAATGGAAGCGAATAGAGAGTTGTCAGATTAGGAAGGTGGCTGGAAAACAGAGAGAGAGGCTTGAAGAAGAAGCTGAAATTAGGTTGGAGAGGCATGCAAGTACAGCAGGAAGCCCTGCAGATTCTTGTAGCTACAGAAACAAACCACTAGCTACAGATTAGCGCTGAATACTGGGAAAGGAATACTGGTTTTACAGGAACTGAGCACAGCAAATCTGTGCCCATCAGCTCAAAGATGGTGAGGCAGTCTAACACCTGCCAACTCATATGAGCGGTACACCTGCTTCACTTTCCTTAAGTGTTTCTTAACTACGTGCTTGCAAGGATAGAGGTCTCTGCCAGCCTAAACCATTCTGTGACTCTAAGGGTAAGATACTGAACTACTTCAGAAAAGGCATACGCTGTAGCTTCTGGCTTGAGTAGGACTTTGAAAACAATATTGGATTTTCGAAACTGATAAGACTGTGGATTCAGAACAAGGCCAAAGTCCTAGTGCAGTCTATAATCAAACAATTCTATTCTTATTTTGAAAAAAACAAACCAAAACAAACAGAAACTGCTTCTTGCCCAACAGCTTTAAAAACAAAAGCCACTTGAGAGAGGACAATTAAAACAATGTAAAATGTTGCCAGAAAGGAAAAACCCAAGGCCTACATACGATCAACACCTTCCTCAAGCAAAGAACCTGCTCTGCACAATCCACTGTGTTTAGCCTCTTGTGTGTTTAAACATGTAAGAAGAAAATCTGTGGTACTTCAGACTCTGCCTTCCAATAAAGAAGTGCTGTATATTACTAACGCAGCCCCTTAACAGGCTTATAAAATCCTCGAGGCTCCTCTAACACCATTTGTGGTTGTTGCCCTACCTGTTAATAAAACAGGAGGCTATTACGCATCCGTCATCTAAATCCATTCACCCAACATTTGCCGCAAGTTCTCAACTTCTTCTGTCATGGAAACATATACATACAAATAAACATGATTTCTCATCGTGCCCTCAAACATAAGCTCTGAGTGATCCTGTATCTCTTTCACTTAGGCATATCACCAACTGTACTCTCAAAACACAAGAAGGGATAATTAAGCTCCTTACAGAACAGGTCCGGCCTAGGCTAGAATGAGACGATTCTCCTTGCAGTGACTCAGACACCTACTGAGCAATAGGTCTCTGAATCAACAGTTTAATCTCCAACAAAGTGAAACCCTGGCAGAAGTTCTCTGAGGCTGGTATCAATTATGGTGAGCACTGGAAGCTAGGAGACCACCTTTTTGGACCAAAAGCTGAAAAAAGCCACAAGACCATGGCTGATTTATTTATCCTCCTGGACTATATTTGAACTGGTGATTCACCATGTTCATCTTACTAATAATTCCTTCAGTTAGCCACTTCAATCCCCTTCTCTAACGTCCAGAAGTCTTCAGAACTCAACTATTACTCTACACATACTTCAATATGCCATTACTGTTGCCAGAAAATATAACTATAAAATATAACTAATTCCACCACTTGAAACATACACAGCTCTTAACTTTTAAAAGCTCTGTAAAACCAAAAGAACAACTACCATATTGGACAAAACTGCATGTGGATTCCCTACAACATCAACTTATGATGGCCTTCAGTCATGTTTTTCCTATTGAAGGCATTAAATGTCCACCTTGGACCACACAAGAAAAGCAGTGATCACTACACGTACTTTCATAATATGTCACTAAAGCTATTCTGTTTCTCAAAACTTTGCAGTAACCTTCTTCAGTCTAAAACTTTTCCTCTTTGGTCTCAAGATTTTCAGGAATCTCTTCTGTTATTCTGAATTATAACTATAAAAAGTTACTCTTTGAGGTCTGTCTTAGATTTATTTGCTTACCAAGAGCTCAGAAATAGCTGAACAAAGCAAGCAGCTACAAAGTTAGCTCTCCATGAGGAAACGTCTGTGCTGGTTTCATTTTCTTGGCTTTCTGGGTGGGGAGGGATGTTTAAACAGCAAGCAACTGGGATGAAGCGGGGGGAAAAAAAACAACAAACAAACCCCAAAAAACCACACTGAGGAAGATCTGCCATAATTTAGTACAACAAAGTGTACTCCATCTCTTCTAGGACACGTTTAGTGAATGGAAGGGCCTGAAATCCCCCTGTTTTAACTGATCAGAGGCCAAAAAAATTTGCAATAATAATGTTAGCAAAGCCTGCTTGAAGGACTCAATCAGCCATCTAATGTTCAATCTTAGAACTGTTTCCATGACTGAGTGGGGGAGGGTGACGACACAGGGGATCAAATCAACTGTCCCTCTCGTATCAAAAGGATCCCTCACACATGCTGTATCTTGAAATTTGTATCTGAAATTTTTGATCTTACACTAGAAATATGGCCACTGTGAACCAGTATGCATCGCTCTAATAGTAGCTAGAATTAGAACTGCAGAATTGTCACCCCAGAAGGTGAAGAAATTCACTGCCCATAGACATGCATCTTTGCCTCAGAGTTGCATATGAAAACTACAGAAAGCGATGGCCACACGTATCCTGATAATTGGGATACAGCTATTCAGTCTGCTCATTTTACAGTAGCTCTTGCCAAGCATACCAGGAACCTGTTTTAATTGCTAATTAATAACATACTTGTATTTGGGGGTGGGAAAGGGTTAATTGAGCAGTTCCTACCCTACAAAATAGAAGTAAAAAAGAAACATTAACTTTACAAAGCATGAATTTTCCCTCAATCTGTATTCAAACTAAAACAACAGTAAAAACATTTTATTGATTTCTGGCTCAAAACATTCCTAACGAGAAAATACTCCCTTCTTGTTTTTCCTGAGCAGTTTTCAGGGAGATTAACCATACAACCCAGTAAAAATTGGTGGGAAGACTCACATGAACAGAAACTTCAGTTTCTCATTTGATACCTAGATCTTGGCCAGGGTATACAGGCAATGGAATAATCCCTTTTTATGGGACCCAGATTAAACTGTGATCTTGACATTCCAAATACGAAAGTGGTAGGGACTGAATACACCAATATCACCCAGCTGAAACGTTCCTGATTCATCTGTGAAACGTACACACAACCGGAGTATAAATAAGACTTAAATACAATGCAATATCACTGAAACAAATAATATTTAGGGGCAGCTCAACGGCAATCCACATCTCTCATTTTGAATATTATCAGTGAAATTTTATGTTCCTACTGTGAATTTTTTTTCTCATCCTAATAAGTGCTTTTGATGAGAAAAGACATACAAGGTCTATGAGCGAAGTACAGTTCTGAGGCCTGATTCCGCAGTCTTCCCTCTGCATAGCAGGTAGCAAGTGATTAACTCACCAGTCACCATAAAAAAAACCATCACACAAGGCAAACAGCAGGTGCAGAATCTGGCCTGAGAACTGTTTCATATTGGGTATATACAACATGAAATAGTCTTACCTCAGTAAGTGCGTGCAGCTGTCCTTGATGCACACAGACACCCATAAACCTACAAGAAACAAGAAAAGAAAAGTGGTTTGGGCTTTTCTCCCCCCCCTCTTTTTATTTTCTTTAAAGAAACTAAAACAGTAAGTAGTACTGGACATGCCAAGAAAGAAGGAAAAGGAAAAAGAAAAAGAAAAAAATTCAGCCTCACAGATACTGCATACCTCAACGCTGATTATTTAAACATCTCAGCACAAAACAAAGTCATGTTTCTACGCTACAATATAATCTGAATTAGCAGTTCCAAGACAGCACAGGAGACAGCTAAAACTCAAGATGGAAAGTTACTAATTTGACTATACGGAAAGGCCAGCATATAATGATTTACGCAGAAAGGAACAGTCTCAGAGTTCTGTTTTAAGGAAGTTGAAGCCAAGTAATCCACTGTTGGTCTGCATAAATAGAAAATTACTTCCCTTTGCATTTTGCTGCTTAAGCATAAAGATGTTTCTTCCTATCCTATTCCTAACCACTCAGGAGTATGAGGGCACGAATGTGCAGCGCACTTCCCCTCCTAAACCTCCGCTTCCAACACTTGGATCGAAGCAAGTGTCAATAATATCCAGCATACACACATTCCATAAAAGTTAACGTACGCTGCACAAGGCACAGACTCCTGCTGTTAATAGTAATGACTGTCACCCTTGATTTTTCTGGAAAGCAATAGAGAATGTGCCATACATTTAACATATGAGGAACAACTGCAAGCTCATTTTTACCACCATACAAGCTGAACCTAAAAGTAACAAAATGCAAATTAATATTAACAGTAAACATCTCCTGTGAGAAAGTTCAGTAAAACTTAAACTGTGTGCACTTCAGAGGCCTCCCTCAGCAGTTAAAGTATTGGTTCTTTTTAGATTTACTAATTTTCAGTTTTATTGTTTAGATTTTGGTCTCAACAAGCAAAAACACATTGTCATTTCCACAATGTTCAGAAATTTTCACTTAGCAAGCAAGGGGTAGAAACGCATGATCTCATTAAATATGACAGGAGACTCTTGTGGAGAACAATTTGAAGGAAAAAGACCTTTTATATCCTCAAACACTTCTGAATTTAAAAACAAAATGATGCAAGACACATGTAGTACTAGTTCAGCTAAGCTGCTTTTGAAGAAATGAATGATCCTCACTGTTCTCTTGTCTAACAGCTGACTGGTAAATTACAAGCAGCCAAAGAAAAATAATATAGGTAAGGTCCTTTGCATAAGCTGAGCTGTGGAAATCTGTTTTTATAACCAAAGAAGACGCAGGACTTGTACTTGAATGTCTATTGCCTGCTCTTGCCTCAAATAATATTCCCCAAATTAAATATGCAAATTCTAATTTGAGAGACTGTGAAAATCCAATTCCTTTTGTTTAATGAAGAGCAATAGGGCAGGACCAGGTATTCAGGGGAAAGGGAAGAAGGACTCTTAGATACACCATCTATGCAAAACATTGCTGTTTCCGAGGTTCACTTCATACAGCAACTGCACGTGAACAATTTTGTAAACAAGTTGACAAATCAAGGTTCCTGAGACTAAGAAATCCAGACTCCTCCAGAGCAGAAATCTGTTTCCTCCTCAATGCATTCTGAAAGTCTCCAGAGTCATCAGGCATGGTGTTAATAGCTTTATTCACAAGCAAAAATGGAAACAAAGTCCAAGATATCAGTTCCACTATTAGACAACTTTTGACACTATTCTTTTCTCTTTTAGGAAACATGCTAATAACACAAGGTTAACCCAGTACTGCAGTATTTTCATTCAACAAAAACAGAGGCTAAGTAATTAAAAATAGTAATGTTTTCATCTATGTATCAACTCTTCCTTTCTAACACTGTATGACATTAGTTTCAAATTCATTGCACTTGACTTAATTCTAAAATATGAATGTAATTAAGAATTTATCAAAATTTTTGCAAAGTTAAATTTCTTGACCCATCTTTACCAAACAGGAAAAAAAAATCACTGTTACCCAAAGACTGGTAGAACTTAACTTTTTCTGCCAACCTATTTTGGTCAAGGGAATTGTCAATGGAAACATATTCATTACCTTTGTGAACCTACACTTAAGGCAGAAAAGACACACTGGCTCAAGTTACCAAGAGTAAGAGTTCAAAAACTCTTAAACGTTTAGGGTTTCTACTGGGAAACAGACAGACATTTCTAACTTTAAATCAGAAATGAAAAACAAAGCTCAATATCATGATCTCATGGAAAAAAGCTGGACATAAAGATACATTTATAAACTCCACATATTTGGAAGTTATTACCCAGGAAAAGGGAAACCAGATACACTGATAAAGACAGAATTAATGAGTTTACAAGCAACATATTGAAACCATTTAACTTCGTGTCAAGAATCTCAGTTTTCAGATTCTGGAAAACAGATTGATAGAATAGACCTCTAGCGATCCAAATTCCTGGAAAACTTCTTAGCTGCTGTATCAAGCAACAATAAGCCTCTTGGTTAAGCCAAGTACTGCTACAAAACACTGTTGGAACGCATTTTCACTAAAAGATAATACACACAGCTGCTACCAGGAAATACAATTACCAAGCACGACTTAACATAAGATTTCAATTTCTGACATTGCCCCTGATGAGATTCCAAGTTCTGTGGATAGGAAGCTGACATGCTGGCCCAGTACAGCTAAGATATTCCTCTTGGCTAGACGCACTGTCTCCAGAGCCAAAATGTGCTTGTAGGTGAACTTCAGCAGAATGTCTTGTCAGCCAAAGGTTACACTTCCTATAAGCATTTCTAGTTGGAAGAAGCTTCTATGAGCCAGTCATCCACAAAACAGGAGACCATTTGCTGATTTAAGGAAGTTTATTTTCAAGACAGTGTATCTGGCCTTATCAGGAAAGCTGAAGCACTTCCAAAATCGTAACTCGTGGTTGGAAAAGTTTCCCCAGAAGCTGTAAATATGAAGAATGCTATTGGAACCCACCGTACTAAATACAGTGCAGCGCAGTTCTACCACAAAATGCTTTCTAACAAATGTCAGCCATGTTCAGATGTTGAAAGTCTCTTTTCATAAACCAGGTTATTCCTCAATCAATCTGGAATACCTGCCCTCTTAGACAAGAGCAAGAAAAGGTACTCTGAATTTCTTAGCCCACTACAGCAGTTATGCAAACTGCTTTCAGTTCAGTCTGACTGCAAAGAATAAAATTCTGGACAGGAAGGGGAAGACTAAGAACTGTAGCCTCAGTCTGCAATCTTTGCCTTCTTGCTAAATCAAGCAAAACTAATATCCAGATTATACAGCCACTGTGGACATCTAGACATTGAACACATGCTTCCCATTAAAAGAACTTCACTGGGACATGTTCCTGTTCTGTGCATAAACCTGGGGTAGCTACAGTTCAACACAGTAAATTGATGCCTACTGAAATCTACTGCTTGTATAAGAAAATTCATCAATTTGATGAAAACATTAAAAAATAAGAAAAAAAACACACTAATGCAAAAGTCTCTCATATGAACTCAGTAAGATGAAAAGAAACAAGGTCAGAAGACAGATACTTATTTCATTGCACTGACTGTCATCGGAGAAAGAAGAGGGTGAGTAAGAATATTAAGTCTGCATTAAGACCTTAATGGTGCCATTTAGGCACCATGCTAGATTAAAAATATATTTTAAGTTTTCTACATTTGCATTTTGATTCAAGACATAGAGGTAAGGCATTTCATCTATCCTTTGTGTAACATATTCTACACAATGCATATGGCCTCTCTTCTGCTGTCTTGTGCACAGCATTTCTAAAATACTCCTTTTTGATAACCATATTACACAGAGGGAAGTAGAAGTATTTTCCTTTTCTGTAAAAGCACTGTTCAATACAGGAAAAAAAGGATGTTAAAAGACAAAAGCCATCCTTCTGCCTATGGTAACAAAGTCAATCACAAGTAATTTCACAAAAATAAAGGTTCGACAGGAGAAAACTGTACCAAAAAGTCCCCCGTGCTATTGTGTTTCCAGGGTGCTAGATTTGTCTGAAAGGAGATGAAATAAAATTCTCCTTGAAAAAAGTTCATGTAATATGCACGCTGCTTGCTTATTTGTGTGTGTCTGCACTCACGCAAGAAGGTGGATTTAATCAATGAGTCAATCTGCCTGCACGCTCACTGCCAATATACAGCGATACCTCCAAACGCTCTCATGAGAGCACTTAAGACATGAGCCAAGGCTTTCTGTGTACAGAATGTTTTAAATGAAGTCCCCAAGGTACAGATTAAATAAAGAAATACTTTTTCACGCCAACAGTAGTGATATAAAAGAATGAAATTCTACCTCAAAATTGAAGACACTAATTTTAGACAGCACAGGAGATGGAGAATCTGTGTTAGCACACCACTTCATTTGCGAAAATGAGAAAAACACACCTGTAAGACATTACCAGAATTAAAAGATATCAGGTGTCTCAAGCTGCAGCCCTAAGGCTCCCAGCCTGGGACACAGGGACAAACATTTCTTGAGTCCTTTCCAGTCCTATCTATTTTCTTACTTTGATTTGGGTAAAGACTCATGACTATGGCAATGCTTCAGCATTTAGAGAAGCAGAAAAGCAGCGAAAAACATTTACTAGCATACACCAGACCTTTCAGAACCCTAGTACCAAATCTAACCCAAGCCTTGAACAGCACTGAGCTTTAAATGAGACACAAGCTAATATGGAAGTGAAGAAATGCTCCAAACCTCTGGTTCTCCTAACCCCAGCAATTACAGTCTTATCACCTATCAGCCAACCTGTATTAAAGTGGCTATAGTAAACATTGCATGGTGCAAACCAGAACCCCAGCTCACTTTTCTACTCCTGCTCTTACCATCAGTTTTGAGGGAAGATGTGATAAAGCCAGCACGTCCCACACCCAGGGCACAGAGCAGTGTAGATCAGAGGCAGAAAAGCATTTTAGTCCTCCATGTTCAGTTTGTATGCAGGAGTGAGGTGGGGATAGGAGCTGATAAGAGAGAGGGTTGATGGCAGAAACGGAGCAGAGCACTCTATGAGCCGCATCAGTCTGCTTTTGCCCTATCCACTCCTAAAAAGTCCCTAAGAGAGTCCCTGGGGAAAAAAAGCAAAACCAAAAAAAGCAGATCTTTCATATGTAGTTTCTTACAATCACCAGATAGTGACTGAACGAAAAGTTACTACATTACAGTTAAAACCTACTCTGCCTCTGGAATCACATCTGCTAATTGAAATAGAAAGCAAGAGGGAGGGATTAAAAACACCCTTACTTTTCACCATCATGTCAATGTAGCTGCAAGAGCTGAAGTCTTCTGTTCCAAAACATTCTTAACAGACTGACAAAGAGGATCCATTTCTGCCACAATAATCCCTTTAATAGAGGGCAGTTTCTCATTTTCGTGATGGAAAATATATTAAAATAATATATTTTATATACATGATTATATTTGACCACCAGAATCTTTGTGATGCTACCATGGGGATGGTATACTTAACTGGGGACTTGGTAAGTGAAAACTAAGCTCTTCACTTAGATCAGTCTTCTGATCAAGACGGATCTACATAGCTGGCCAAGAGCAGAATTTAAGCACAGAAACACTAAAATGAGTGGGGATATTTAAAGTTAGCAATTCACTCTATGCCCAGCAACACCAGCTATTTTTAAAGCCTAAATAACCACAGTGATACTTCACCAAGTATTAGAAGCAGGGAAACTGAACCAGTGACACAACTCTATCTCCTAAATAGAACAGCAGTGTCACTAAGACAAACACACAGACCTGCCTCTGAGTAATCTCTACCGAGCTGAGGGACACAAGAAAGTCAGCGAGTACGGACAAACTCACACTCCAGAATGGTGATTGCACGCCAGGATGAAAACCTCAAAAGGCATCTGTAACTGAAAACGAGTTGATATGGACAGCACAGAAGCAAAAGCAGTTTCAAAGAGTAAGCAATATTTATTATTCATATCAATGGCAAAAATACAGCAATCTTTGGAATAACGTCTTGAAGTTAACTGGGGGCACATTGGAATGGATAGCTTGTAAAAAGTTGCTATGTATTTTGGAGCACTCGCAAAGGGATGGGTTTTTAATTATCCAAAGGATAACAATGATTTTTGGCTATTAAATACACTAGGAAAAGAATCTCTTCTCTTTTCCACATCACTTAGTTCATATAAACCAAGGAATAGTTCTAGGACAAAAACTTTGATTCAGTTACAAATTTTAGGTACTAAAGCACCAGGATGTTCAAAAACATAACCATGCACAGATTAAAGAAGATTTTGTATACAACAATAAATGCATCATTGCTGAATCTGACATTCACTTTCTAAAACGTTAACTGACAGAACTGCGCATGTTGAAAATAGGTTGAGAGCAGATTTTGGGGGCCATAACGCCAGTTAATCTATCCAGTTTCATAATTTTACAAGCCATTTGCTACCAGAGCGCCTCGCAACCCTCTACCTGCTACAATTAACTACTACACACGACCTCAACATTTCAGCCTAAGGAGAGCAACATGCTGACAGCATAGGTTAACAGTAGGTAGTCCTAGAGCTTACAAAGATGAAGTAGCTCAGATGTATATATTACATAAAATCAGAATACACCTTCAAGGCATGTGGAGGAGATCCAGTGACTAATCAATAAATAATTAAACTTGATGCTAGCGACAAAACAGCTTACTCGGTAATATAGAGGAAGAACTTCAAAGGATAGAAATTAAGTGAAGAAAGTAACATTTAACAGCAAACTGAGGTAGCTCACAGTCCCTGGAAAGAGGAAGTTATACATCAGAACTTCTTGGAAGAGGATCATGCCCTTTAAATACAAACTTAAAATTTCAAAAAATAATCCCCAAAAATGTTTCA